AAGGAAGGAAGGAAGGAAGGAAGGAAGGAAGGAAGGAAGGAAGGACAGCTTGGATTATAGAGAAAATAACATTCCACAAAAAAAAAAAATCTCCCAATGCATCGCAGTGGGTGAGTCAGTTGGGCAACAACACTGAATGCTGCCAGTTACTCCATTCTTAGCCACACATTCCATCCTTCTTCCTGATCATATGACCCAGAGTGGAATGTATGAAGCCTACCCCCTGCTCCCCAATGTACAGGCACATACATATACAAAGATGTCAGACAAAGGGAAATCAGAAACAAAGAAGACAGACACAACACATTACTTTGTTAAATAGAAAAAAATCCAGATGCCCCCTATGACTGCAGCTGGCAAAGGGTCTGGAAAGAATTCTAGAAACCATGCTCTGCAAGCTCTTCCTTGTTAAAAGTGCCTGGTAAAAAGTGCTACATTTACCTGTCCTGCACTTGGCTCCATGTCTCCCATTATCATGTTAATTGTTGTACTTTTACCAGCTCCATTGGGTCCCAGAAGCCCTAAAATCTCTCCTACAAAGTAAAATATTCATATTAAAATACAGCCAAGTAAACTCATAAGAAATACTACAAACTGATTTATTACATCATCTACTTTAATTAGTATTGGAGTCATTTTTTTATCTTCCTAAGATGTATTCAAAATATCAGTCAATAAAATCCTTTAGTATTAAGGCAAAGGACGGATTTCTTCTCCCCTTACAATTAGTTGAACTCGTACCCCCCCCCCCACCACACACACACATTCACTCAACTGTGGTGAAGATTGAGCAGAACATCCAGGAGGAGGAATGAAAAGAAAATGCCATTGCTTATATGAGGATTCATCTACATACCATATGGATATACACTTTTAACAAAATAAATCTTGCTTCCAACTACATGCATGCTACTATATTTTAAGAGAGAAAATCAAAGAAAGACCATATTTGATGTCTGTTTTTGCTCCAGTTATATATGTTTTATTTTAAGCTTATTCTCTTTAAGATGTCACTCAAATATTATGATACAATTCCACTAGAATAAGTAAAATAAACAAAAGAGATATCAAGGCAGAAAGAGAAGAATGAAGACATGGAGGTGGACACAATAATATTCTTAAAGGCCAAAATAACAGTAGTAATCTTTGGAATAATAAACTATTCCTTGTTATTTAATTTATCCAACCTTTAAATGGTGGACAGGGTATGATAACACTTAAAATTATTTCACTGAAGTGAGACCAAAAGTGTTTGATGGAGTTTTTACTTCTGAAGGGTTTGGGAGGATTCAGTGCACAATGCCGAACCTTTAAATAACATTTTAAAAAGCAATTTTGCCACTGAATTTCAGTAGTGCAGTTAAGGGGATGCGGTAAATATCGACACAGGAGAGCATATTTGGTCCGCAGCCTCTAGATATCTCTTAGCCCTCTTAAGTTCCCTCAGCTCTTCAGTATATCATGAAGGGTTCTGGGAACTGTGGGCACGGAGAGGCTGCTCAGGCACAATCCGGTCCAAAGCCATAGCCACTCTCCCATTCCAAGTGGCCACCAAGGCTTCGGCCAGGCTGTGTAACACACTTTCTGGAACAACCCCAAACTCCCTCTGGAACCCAACTGGGTTCACCAACTGCCTGGGTCAGGCCGATTTAATAGGCCCAATCTCCCTGCAGAGGAGGGTGGCACCAGAGAACTGGAGGCTCACCAGGGAGTGATCCTACCATGGCAGGGGAGAAACCAATACCTCCTCCAAATCTAGAACACCCTGCCACTGGTCTGACAGAAAAACTAGGTCAGGTGTTTGACCACTATTATGCGTTGGGCCCTGGATGACTTCAGACAGGTCCACGGCTGCTGTGGTGGCCATGAACTCCCAAACTGCCTCAGGCCCTGTGCCCAGGGAAAGCAGGTCCCCAAGACCATAAACCCAGGGAACTCTGCTAACCAAGCTACAGAGTCAAGAAGCTCAGGCAGGGAGATTGCTATGCAGCAGGGAGGCAATAGTCCCAACTGATCCCTCCTAGTGCCCAACTTAATAAATAGGGTCTCACACCTGCCAATCTGAGGAGCAGCACCCCTGGATGGCTCTCACATATTTCAGATGACCACTGCCACCCCACTGCCCCTACCCTGGGGTCTTGGCTGGTTCCACACCCAGAACCCAGCTGGGCAAATCTCAGATCAGCTTTCCAAATCCTGGTAAGGGAATGGGCCTCAAACACTACACACGATTCCTTCCCAAGCCACCAGACAGCCCAGTGAAAGATATAAACCATGTGGGCCAGATAGAAAACCAGTCCTGCTCAGTCCAGTTGGGAGATGACCCCAAAAGACTCCACCACCATCCAGTTCAAAACAATAAACCTCTAGCCACCCACAACATACTACAAGCCTCCTACCAACAGCACCCACACGTACCAACTTGGCACCATGATCAAAAAATGTAATTTTTGCTGATCAATGGCCTTAATAGGTTTATAATAGAGATTAACTTAACAATATGGTTTACTCCAACCAAACCTTTTTTAACGCAAAAGGAGATGTTTCTGGCAGCCACTTTCTTTTCTTCCTTCTTCTTGAAACAGGAAGAGGAACAAGTCTTCCCATTTTTGTATTCTTTGCGCAGGTCATGGACAATGATAACTGGTTTCTAAGCAGAGAGAAGATATTGCTTATGCTATACAGGCATACCTTGTTTTATTGCACTTTGCTTTATTGTGCTTCACAGATACTGTGATTTTTATAAGACCCTCCACCAGCAAAAAGATTATGACTCGCTGAAGGCTCAGATGATGATTAGCATTTTTTAGCAATAAAGTATTTTTTAAGTAAGATACATACATTGTTTTTTTAAGACATAATGCTATTGCACACTTAATAGACTACAATATAGTGTAAACATAACTTTTATATGAACTGGGAAACCAAAAAATGTGTGTGACTTGCTTTATTGTGGTATTTGCTTTATTGCAGTGGTCTGGAACCGAACCCACAATATCTCCGAGGTATGCCTGTATACACATGGCCATTTTGCACTGTTAGTTAACCTAAGCATGGGTCATATAAGGTCATCTCTTTTGGTAAATCATAGAAGCAAGTATAAGTGGTTTCTTCTTATCAGGAGTCTGCCATTGTATCTCAACATTATCTCTGCCTGGAAGATTATCAGTGTGTTCAGCACAGATCTTTCCCATTGTCTCCCTGCCACATTATCATCTAAGTATGAGACCTGTCATCGCCCCAAACTGGTTTGGACAATAAAACAATAACTGTGTCAGTACCAGAGTCATGAAAGTTTACAATAGAAAAGGCAATAGCTAGACCCCACTTATTTTAACTCTTCCCCAGATTTCTTAGTTCCCTTTAAATGGTTTTGGATATTCTGGCATAAGCGTAACATCTACATTGCAATCTCTTTCAAACGTTCTTCCTGCATGCTGTTCCTCTTATGGTGCTTTGTTTCATTAAATAGCTGTTTGTTGCTTCTTGATGCTGGTTTCCACAGTTTATCCTGGGGTTTAGGCTATATATTTATTATGTAAAAATATTTTTTGGCCTCCACCAACCACCTCTCTGTTTTAAGAAATGGAATATTTAATCATTAAACACCAGTGCAAGTCAAGGAAAACTCATCTCTTTTGTGGAGATTCAGCTTGTTCCCATCTCTTTCTCAGTGCTTAGTCCTGCCTCCTCCTAACACTCTGTCCACTCTGTACAAAGAACTTTGCCTATCCAGATGACCCAGAACATAGGACACAATTTCTCTCAAAGTACTATCTGGGAAGTTCTGGACTCTGATGTTTTCTTACTTCAATAGTACCTCAATACCCTGGAGGCATTCAAGGTAAGTATATATTTGCAGTGTAAAGGTGCTAGATAGAATGATATGCAGGATTGTGCATTTAGCTATATTTCATATCACTTATATCAATGGGATTTTTTTTTTTCAAAATAAGAAAAGCCCAATAGTTATGTTTTACCTCTTGACTATCAGGGGCCAATGCACTCTGAACTCTTGCCCTTTCATCTAGAACATCTCTGTCATCCTCTTGGCTGAGCTCTTCAGGATTCTGATGGGTTCTTTTCCTTTGTGGAGAAATCCTAGGGATCAAAGATATAATAAGTCTGAAGTGACTGCATATTAAAGAGTAAATGGTAATTTCAGTTAGGAAGGCAGCAGAAGGTTCCGAGCTTCTGAACCATGATGAGATTAGATGAGAAATGTTTGGAAAAATCCCTCAGCAAAATGACTATGAGGAAGGCCTTAGAAAGGAAAGAAGTCTGACACAATGAGTGATTTCTGGCATAGAACTTCTGTGTCTGCAAGAAACAGAGGACTTTTTGTCACCTGGTTCTTCTCAGATTGTTACTGGGCTTCCATCCCCCTCTCTCCCCAGGCAGAATCTTATTTTGTCTACCCTTTTTTGCCTTCTCCCTCATAGGGCTACCATAAATGGTGGCCCACATCTGAATCACCACTTGATAGTGGCAACAAGTTGGCATCTATTGCCACAGAAGGTGATGCTGGCATGACCTAGTAGTAAATTGTACCCCTTCATTTTGTTCACATTTCTTTTCTTTATGATGCACATCACACATCAAATCCAAATTCCATTTTGATATCCTCACTATGTATCTTCACAATATTGAGGAAGATTGAATTTCATTTTATGATTTTCCATACAGCTTCAGATCATCACATACAACAGGTGGAACATTTTTCTACTTTGCTTCAACAGTTCATATTCAAATGTTATTGTATTCATAATCTGAATGAGGGATATCATTGAGATTTCCCCCCCCCCCCCCCACCTCCTGCTGTGTTGCCTCTTCATGGCTCCCATGTTCCTGGGAGGGATGAGTGAAGAATGTTGGGAGTGTATAATCCTAACAGGGTCACTCAAGGTGTGAAGGTCATCCTAGCTGCCAAGCTAAAGCAAGCAGGCAGCTATATTAGGCAGCGATGATATAGGAAGATGCTGGAGGTAGATGATCACTTTAGTGACAATGACACAGGCATCAATTCATATTGCATGGGAGAAGCAATGATAAACCACTCCTGTATTTTTACTGAGAAAACCCCATGGATAGAAAATATAAAATGATCGACAATACTGTATACTGTAGTGCCAGATGATGCGCCCCTCAGGTCTGATGGCACTCAACATGCTACTGAGGAAAAGTTGAGGATCTTTCAGAGTATTAATGGTGTTTATGATGTGGCTAGATTAAAATCTTTGGGATGTCTAGTTGCTGATGTTGCCATACAGGAAAAGAAAATCTGAAGCTGCAAAGACAGAAGTACAGTAGGAACATGGAATGTAAGAAGCATGAACATGGGAAAGCTCAGCACATTGAAAGATGAAATGAAATGACTACAAACTAACATCTTAGGCATCAGCAAATTGAGATGGACTCAGATTGGATACTTTCAGTTAGAAGATCACACTGTTTATTTCTCAGGATATGAAAAACAAAGAAGAAATGGTGTTTCATAGGAAGGATATATTAAAAATAGTACTTGGCTACAATGCAATCAATGATCGAATAATAGTGATTAGAGTTTGTGGACAAGCTTTTAATATGACAATCATTCAAGTTTATGTTCCGACCACTGATGCAGAAGAAAAGGAGGTTGATGAATTTTATGATCAAGTTCAATTTGAAATCAACAGAACATGCAAGCAAGATGTGCTGCTTATGATTGGAGACTCAAATGCCAAAGCTGGAATCATGAAAGAGGAACATGTAGTTGGACTGTAATGGCTTAGAAAACTGAAATAAAGCAGGAGGCCAACTTATCAATTTCTGCCACTCCAATGATTTCTTCATAGCTAACACTGTCTTCAAACAACAAAAATGATGCCTCTATACATGGATATTACCAGGTAGAATATATAGAAATCAGATTGACTATATTATTGCTAAAAGGTGGTAGAGAAGCTCAATTATATCATCAAAGACATGGCCAGGTGCTGTCTGTGGAACAGATCACAAACTGCTCATGTGCAAGCTCCAAGTTAAGCTAAAGAAGAAGAAAGCCAGTCAATTTCCACGATATGGTCTTGAACATATACCAATCATTTTCAAAGAGAACATCAGGAATTGCTTTGAAGTCCTGAACTTCATAGATAGGGAACCAGATATCAGGTTCAGCCCAAGAAACTCAGCGGGACAATTCAGGAACAGTTCAGTTACTTTATTAGC